GAGGGCAAACAGACAAAGAAAAAAAGCTTCCCTGTTATGTCCTTATATAGGCTAATACAGAGGGTGTGGCTCAGATTAAAGGCATGTGTATTCCTACCTCCAAGATCTAGAGTTAATGTGGATGTACCTACTCAAAATTCAGCAAAACCCCTCACAGGTGTGCCCTCCACTTTATGTTTTAGTTAATTCCAGCTATAATCAAGCTGACAACCAAGAATAGCCATCGCAAATAATATAGTATATATGAACTGCCAAAGAAAGAAACAGCTTCTGCCTTCAATAAAGGAAACATGGTATATCATAGAATCAATTATGGGTGACCATGGCCCAAAAAGGTAGATTCAGGTCTCCCCAGGTACCACATTCCAATGAACTAGCAATCACATGGCATTTTTTTTTCATAGTAGCAGAAAAAATGAAAGCCATAAATCAAGACACTTTTTAAGAACATTGGTGAACACATAAAGTAGGCAGGTTATTGAAAAATGATAGAACACTGACATAGGTCGTATATGCAATATGACAACACTCTAAGCTCTGTGATTGGTAGAAAAGTATGGTTTTCTTAACGCTTTCCAATTTGTTTGCCAGGATGTTAGATGTGCTTTATTTGTTAGTCACAGGAGGTTAGGTTCTGCAAAGGGAATGACTATTTAGTACAATAAACATATTTTAAGATTGATTAATAATTAGAATATGGGCCTTTAACCTTCCAATGTCGCTATATTACCAAAGTTCTAATCACTCAGCCTTTGCAAATTAGATACAAATTCTTTCTAAGAATTCTCATTCACAATAACAATAACTTATTGGAATAATACTATTATTCAATTTTGTAACTACATTGACTATGTCAACATCACTACAAGCAATATGATGATGTGTTACAAGAAAACATCACCAGGTGATAGGATGTTTAAACTCTATTACAGTTATATGGGACCTCATATATGTGGTCCATCAAACATCACCACCCTGCACATGGATGTACCTACCTTAATAACGTATAACCGACATCTTGCATATTTTTTTTTTTATCTGTAGTATCAAACTTTTAAAACAGGATGGCTAGAATAAAGCTTTGGATAGTAGACAGACTTCTCTCACACAGAATTCTTTGGAAAAGGGCTTTTCTAATTCAGATTTGCCAGTAGCTTCTGCTGTAATGTCCATATCTAGACTTCCCTGAACTCACTTCTTTTCCTGATGCCAGAGAGTGGAGTGCTTCCCTGCACATTCAGTGTTCTTACCGCTCTAAAATAAAATCATATTAAAAGAGAAATAATGGTTTGAAGCCTTTTACTCTTCATAGATACATTGATAAACAGTATTTTATATGGAATGTATAAAGTTAAACATATATGACATTGCTCAGAAGCCCTTAATGCACTTAAGGACCTTCATACCTGGTAATATATATGGCTCCACTTTCCTTCCTAAAATGTGATAATACCAACATTGTCATACAAGTGACTTACAGAAATTCAATAAACTCTCAAAATGTCTGGTGACAATTGAGATATGACAACAGTGAATTTGTTTATTTTAAAATATTTTATTTATTTATTTAATTCTTTTTGCTTTTCAAGACAGGGAAGTGATTACAGAGTTGGCAACAGAGCCCATGTCAGAGACAACCCCTGATCTCCTTACTACAGTCCCCACATGGAGACTGAGTTGCCTATGGGCTACATCTGAGCAGGGGGTCTAGATCTTCTCTAGACATGGTCCTCTGCTGATGCATCAGTTTCTGCAGGATCCCTGGGCCCAAATTTGTTGGCTTTGTTGGTCTCCTTATGGAGCTCCTCTATCCTCCCGGTCTTCTATCTCTCCACTCTTCCATAAGACTCTCTGTGCTCTGCCCAAAATATATCTGTGAGCCTTAGCATAGTATAAAAAGTTGTAAATAAAAAGAAGTTTTAAATTCAGATTCTGAGTAATACTTTGAGGTGCCCAGTAGAGGGTCCTTTAGTTTCATTTGTAAGTTGTTTATTTGGGAAATGTTCCTCCACAGTTCTGTTCTTTGACTGCCCTCCATGAGCAAAGTTAGCTGAGGGGGACCAGGGCCAACTGAGGAACATTAAGAGCCACCTTATGAATCAAGATGGATGAAGCCTTAAGAGGTTTTTATCCTAAATTAGTGACCATGGAGGGGGCAGAAATGAAGGCAGAGAACAGAGAAAAGGCTGCTACAATGGTGAGTTTTGGGGGCGGGTGTAGAAAAAGCCATGCAATACAACATGGGAGTACTGGTCTTATCTGAAAGCATTTATGGGAGGAAGACAGGTTTCCAGGCTTTAGCATGAACAGGCAGAGTGTAGAGATGGTCCTGTATCTCTTTGAGTGTTATGACAGTCAGTGAGAAGATGGCAATGTTTTTGTGGGTGTTACTCCAACTCAGAAAGAAAGTTCATGAAATGGGCTACATGTGCAGTGGAGTAAAGATTGCTGCGGACATGAGGGCTCCACTTTTGCATCTAGAAAACAAAATTTTCTTTTATCACTGTGTTGATTTCAAACTCATGTTTGAAAAAATGTTTGGCTAACATGACCATGACAAGGGTCAAAAAATATTAGGACCCCATCCACCATCAGCTCTCTTTATGAGGAGGCATTCCCCTTTACTACAAATTGTTTCTATTCAGTATATCCCCATGTGATGATATTCATTTTTGGTAAAATATTTGGAAGTATGAAGCTGCTAATAATGTCATCAATTGAATTGATTTCAGGATAAATTGTAGCAATTTCCATCACAACTTTATTCACATCTGCTGCTCTATGTAGTTTTATTTTGTTTTATGTCAGTTTAGTCAATAGAAACTAACACTGATCTAATAGTTCTATCTTTGACTTTTAGAGAGATACAAGAGCTCAGCAGTTATTGTCTTTTGTATATCTAATATTTCCTACTTATTTATTCAGAGGAGTTTTATGGCATACAATGGAGGCATTGTATGGTTAAAATCTTTGTTTGGCACTTATCTACTTTTTCATACTTTTGGGAAATTGGCTTTTGAATATTTTTCCACTTTTTGCACTGTGTTTTGACATATCCTGGCAATTTGGTTTCTGCTTCCTGCTTTCACAATGTGGGATGTTAAACTCTTCTGTGGAATATTTAAATAATTTAGTTTTATAAGCATAATTGAAAATGTCTTTTGTTACTTCTTATATACATGATATGATCTGTCACAGCTTCCCAACTGTGTGACGAAGTGGTTTTTATTAACTGTAGGCTACGTAGGAGCCAACTGTGCCTGAGATATAGTTTCAAAGTCAAATGATGCTAGCTTCTACATCTTAATGTGTGGGAGACTTTATGTAGTGCCTACACACAGGCAAGCAAAAAAAAAATTAGAAAATTATAGAAATAACAATAGAAAGTTTAATTTTCACTAGATCCACTGCACTATATCCATGTGCCAGTTTATTATCATGGTACGTGACTTTTCAACCAAGGCATTGCAAAATTTTAATGTTGCCAAGGATTCTCTTACCTTTCAAAATTTAGTAAAACATTGTCATAGTGGATTCTTGGAGAAATTAGGAAGGTCAAGGTTGTAGTAGGGGCCAACTACTCTACAAAGTTTGCTTTGCAATGGCAGGATAGACTTTGCCATTCTGTTCTAAGTGGCAAGGTAGCAGGACAAAGGGTAATAGTATTCCTTAAGTAAAGCTTGGGGTGGACATTGAGAGTTGTTTGAAATTAGCCTATTACATAAGAGAGAAAAATTCTTGGACTTAAACAGAAGTAAAATTATGGGAAAAGACCTGATGCAAATAGTTTTACCGACTGTTTGTTTATATGGGGTATTAGCTTAAGCTTTACAGGGTAGACAGTCTCGGAAGCAGCTGCACAATCGCGAACAGGCCAGTAGGTGGCAGAAGAGTACCACCATTGCTGCTTCCCTCCCCGCTCTCTGCTTTTTAGGAAGACATGGGGTTGGATTTCTTGATTCATACAGATGATGTTGCATCTGTCCCTGTCTGAAAGTTGTGACCTTCAGACAGTCTTTTCATGTGCACTACATTCATACGCACATGAATTCATCCCTCAGGACACTAGCTGGTAAGCCCTTTGCCAGTCCCTCTCCTTGCGGATCTGTAACTAAAGACTGGCTACAAGATAGCCACTTTCCCTCAGGAGTTTCTCACAGAATGCCTCATCTCAAGGAAGTGCCCTAAAGTTGCCCCCCCTCACCTTGGAATGGCCACCTGTAATCTGCAGAATTCTCAACTCTTTAAATCTTGTTTTTCCTCTTTTCTGGTAGGATCCTGATATTTTCCTGGGAACAGGTTTCCATTCTGGTACCAGGGTGGTGTGTTGATGTGTCAGATGAATCTTCCATGGACCAGGATATTGATAAGAATATCTTGGAATTTTATTTTTATATAATTAATTTGTTTTATTTTTATATAATTAATTTATTTTTTATTCACCTTACATCCTGGTAGTAGCCACATCCCTCCTCCCCTACCATTCCTGCCCTCCCTCCCTTCCCATTTCCCCCTAGCTCAGAAAAGGGGACCTCCCTTACCCATCTGTTTGGAGTTTTTTGTATGGTTACTAAACCTGGATTTTTATGCTCCTAAGGTACATTTTCCCCCTTTTCCAAATACCCATGAGGAGGTTTTCTGCTTGGAATTATAATTGTATTAGTGTGTCATCATATATGCAGTTTAATTAACCCATTTGTGTCTGATAGTCTCACGTTCAAAATACACATTGCGTCTAATTTGAAGGAGTATTGTGAAAATTAAATCAGAGGGGACATACAACACCCTCCTAATTTGGAGTGTCTTGTGAAGGTTTACTTTCACTTCAAGAAAATTTCTGGCTTCACCACCCACCACAATCACTACATTCCTTTAAAGATGAATGGAGTACTCTTTTGGGAAGCTGTCAGCACGCAGGGGTTTTACTATCACTGATAGTTATCGCCCACCATCCTGGTTTACAATTAGAATAAAGACAAACACTCAATGTTATGCTAAAAGTATATTTATATAGATATAGATCTTTACTTTTCCCCAGACAATATTTTACCGATGAGTCATATTTACAACCAAAAAATTGACTATTATGATTTTATGTAAACAGAATGAGAGGAATAGACTGTCACTTCATTTCACAAAGGCAGCACAACCCTGATACTAAAACATAACAATTAGGCACAAAACAGAGAACCACAGATCTCTTTTAAAAATACAGATGCCAAAATACAGTTTAGCAGCAAGGTTAGGTCAACATCTCAGAAGACTGTACAAAAACTTTGGCAAATATAAAAACAGGCTGAAAATTTAAACGTACACACACAGAACAATACCAAAAACACCAGAAAGCACAATGTTCCCCCACCCCCCACTGTCTGTTGCCTTTGGCACGGAACCCACAGGAATAAGATCATCTTAGTAACACCTATTAGTGAGGATGAGGACTGCTGGTCGGGTCATGAGAATCGTCGTCGCTGTCATGGGACTCCTCATTCGTGTCTTTGTATTCTAACTCTCCCAATGACTCAAGGTACTGGTATGACCAGGTCTGGGGCTGGTTCTGGTAGAGAGCAGCCAAAAACCTCATGATATGCACCCTGTTGGTTTCAAGAAATGCCCGCGGACCCCAGAGAAGCTCATACTCTGCTGGCTCAGTGAACGGGATTTGCCTGTACTCTAGGTACCTATGTCTCACAAACACACTGGTGATGAGCTTCTTTGTACTTCTGAAAAGACCACTTGTTTCCTGGACGTCCAGCCCTAACTGGAACAGGAAATTAAAGAGCAGATTCTCCCTTATGCAGTAGCCTTTCATAAAGATGAGGCTCAAGACTACCATCAGGAGGTTGAACTTTGGCCTGTCTAAATAGGATGCCAGCAAACTACACTGAGTGTTCCCCGTCTTTCTCACGATGATATAAGAATGAGTTTTGGTGTCAACTTCCTTCAGTTGACAACCGAAGGTGCTCTCCAGCTTAGCGTTCGCACGACTGATGATATCTAAGCTCTGGTCTTTATATTCTCGGATGACAACATTTACCATCTCCGAGAGCTGGACCGGCACCTTGGCTTGGTCTTTGACCAAGAGAAACTGCACCAACGCATCTGCTCTCTCATCTAAGGGAGACAATTGCTGACTCTCCCCATTGGAGTCCTCCTGAGCATCACTGGATCCCGGAAAGATACGTGGGACCTCAGAGACCATCCATGGCTGAGAAGCCCCTGAACCATCACAGAACCCCTGATCATGTGAAGTGCTGGGGACATCCAAGCCCCTTGGAAACCTAGTGTTATTGGGGCACCCCCAGCCATTCCGGTTCTGGGGAGTATAGAGGGATTCCCGGTCCCCCAGGAGCTGGAGAGCTCTTTGGATTTCCCAGTCATTCTGACTGGGATTCTCCCAGGATGGAGGGCCCCGCCAGTCACGTGAGGAACCCCTATGGCCGCAGTTGTCCTCTTTGGGTTCCAGATGCTTCTTCTTCCTGGTGGCTTTTCCGGAGCGCCGTGGTGTCTCTGACGACTTGGAGGCCTCTGCAACGGTGGCACTTGCCTGGGGAGAAGCTGCTGTTACCATCAGGATGGTGGGCACTGACTTACATGCTGGTGAGGCATTCGCATCAGGATATGGAACCCAGGGAACTGCAGGCAGGGCCTCTACACAGGCATAAGGATCCTGCACAGCATATGGCAGTGACTTTGGGCTCTCTGAGGTGGCAGATGGGCCTCTAAAGGCATTAGAGGCAGGCTGGAAATGAGAGGTAGATGGAAAGACCCTTGAGGTGGGAGGAAAGGTCTCTGATGTGGCAGGCAAGTTTTTCCAGGCAGTTGGCAGGTATGCCCTGGAAGCTGATGCTGCCCTGGGAGCACAGAAGGTGGCACCAATGATCATGCGCTCTTTTGGAGGACCCTTTTTGTCCTTTGCAGGGGTCCTCCGTTCTCTAGAAGGCCCACGAGGTTCTAGAGAAGAGGGGCCAGGTTCTCCTGACAGAGTCACAAGTGATCTAGTGGGGCCCCTGGGAAAATCTGTCGGCGTGGCAGAGGTTCCAGGCTGGGCCTGCAACAAGGGGAGTGGGCCTTGCCAAGAAGGCTGCAGTTGCACTGAGGGCAGTTCAGCCTGCAGGCCTGTGGGCTGGGCCTGGTGGGCAGGCAGCTGAGTTTGCAGTGCTTTGGGGGAGGCTGGAGCTCCCTGAAAGGGCTGCTGTTGCTCCACGTGGGTGATCTGAGTGGCCTGCTCCTGGGACTCCTGGGCAGGCACAGGCTGCCAGAAGTGACTGGGTACCTTGGGGGCCCGCCAGCCCATTGTCTGGGCCTGCTGTACCTCCTGGAACTCCAATGTCACGGGGAGCTCCTGTGGCACCTGGAGCTCCTGTGGCACCGGGAGCTCCTGTGGCACCTGCAGCTCCTGTGGCACGGGGAGCTCCTGTGGTACCTGCAGCTCCTGTGGCACCGGGAGCTCCTGTGGCATCTGGAGCTCCTGTGGCACCGGGAGCTCCTGTGGCATCTGGAGCTCCTGTGGCACCGGGAGCTCCTGTGGCACCGGGAGCTCCTGTGGCACCGGTGGCTGGCCTTTGGGGGCCTGCCAAATGATGGATGGGCAATGCACAGCCCGTGGAGCAGACTGAGAGGCAGCCTGGGGTACAGGAATTGGGATAGACAGTGGTCCTGGCAGCACTGTCTGGGGTACCTGTGGGCCTGCCTGTGGCACCAAATGTATCTGAGCAACTGCTGGTGCTGTAGGCACCTGGGCTGCCCCTGGCACCCTCGGGACCAGTAGACGAGCCTGTGGAGCCTGACGCAGTGGAGGTGGGGGTGGCAGGACTTGCCACAGCTGAGGCTGACTTGCTATGCCATGTGGAGCTGGTCTGATAGGTGGAGGGGCTGGGCGGATCAGTGGTGGGGCTTGCCGCAGCACAGGTGGAGCCTGACGGATCACAGGAGGCATCTGGCGGAGCACTGGAGGTGGTCCAGGTCGAATGGGTGGGGGACCAGGCCGAATGGGTGGGGGCCCTTGGCGCACAGGTGGAGGGGCCTGCCAGGCTATCGTAGGGGCCTGCCAAGTGACCTGCGTGGCTTGCCAGGTCAAGGGCGTGCCCTGCCAACCCTGGGGGGTCACCTGCCAGTTGGGTGTGGTGGCTTGCCAGCCTTGGGGTGTGGCCAGCTGCACCTGGGGGGCTGGTGGAACAGTGGAAACCTGTGGAGGAGCCCTTATGACTTGAGACTGGATTTGCAGGATCAAAGGCTGACCCTGTGGGGCCCAAGAAGCCAAAGGCTGCCCTGGGGGTATCACTGGCTGCGCCATTGGTGCTCCTGATACTGGAGTCTGAATGATTGGAGCTCTGCCACCTGGAGGATGGATCATCACGACACCAGGACCTGCGACACCAGGCTTGGCCATCGGAGTTATCGAAGGTGGAGGCTGGGTCAACAAGGCAGCTGGTGGAGGAGGCTGGACCATCGGTGCTCCCGGAGCAGGAGGCTGGACCATCAGGACTCCTGGTGTCAGCTGCTGCGCCATCAGGACTCCTGGAGTTGGTGGCTGAGCTATTGGTGCCCCCGGAATGGGAGCATGCGGAATTGGCGGTCCAGATGGGGGAGGATGGACCATCGGGGTTCCGGGAGGGAGAGGATGCACCATAGGGTTTCCAGGAGGAGGAGGAGGGTGGGCCATCGGGGTCGCAGGAGGAGGAGGAGGTGGGTGGGCCATCGGGGTTCCAGGAGGAGGAGGTGGTGGAGGAGGAGGAGGAGGAGGATGGGCCATTGGTGTGACAGCAGGAGGAGGGTGTGTCATCGGGGTTCCTGGGGGAGCTGGATGAGCCAAAGGGGCCCCCGGAACAGGAGGATGCAACATCAGAACTCCCGGAGTTGAAGGCTGGGCCATTGGGGCTCCCGGAGGGGGTGGATGGACCATCAAGACTCCAGGAGTTGGAGGCTTGGCCATCGCCCCCCCCAAAGGTGGAGCCTGGACCATTGGGGCCCCTAGGGCAGGAGGCTGGGCCAGCTGAGCCACTGGGGCAGGCAGCTGGCCCTCTGGAGCCTCCCAGGAAGGCTGAGGAGCCTGCCATGGAGTCAGGGGAGCGTGCAAGTCCAGTGGAGGTGGATCCCAAGGGACAGGAGGTGCCCGGGAGGAAGCAGGCGGAGCCCGCATCAGAACCGTAGGGCGGCTATGGACCGGAGGCACTGGGGACTCCGGAGGGCTGGAATCACCCAGATTCGTACTTAGCTGCTGCGACACCTCCCTCGGTTGACTGGCGGTGGCTCGTCTCCGGCCGCTGCGCTTTTTCTTCCAGTGTTGAGCATGTCTACGTGGCTGTCCAGGATCCCCCTCCAGTTTGAAAGCGGAACACGCACCAAGTGCAACTAGCTTGCTCCGCTGCTCTCAGCTAGGGCTGAGGGCTCTCTCGCAGCTCTCAGGAGGGCTGCGCGCTCTTTCTCAGCTCTCAGCGAGGGCTGCACGCTCTCTCGCAGCTCTCAGGAGGGCTGCGCGCTCTCTCTCAGCTCTCAGCGAGGGCTGCGGACTCTCTCCGCTGCTCTCAGCGAGGGCTG